CCTCAGCCATTGCATCAGCTACAGCCAAAGCCAAGCCTCAGCCACCAAAAGAGACAGCCCAGAGCCATGGATATTTTATGTATTTATTTATTAGGTTTTCTCAGTGGTGGCTGTCCTCTGGCATAAGTTTGGCCTAATCCTCGTCTGAGCATGGAACTAAGTTGATTATCCACAGCCTCAGCCATTGCATCAGCTATGGCCAAAGCCAAGCCTCAGCAGTGGGAAACGACAGCCCAAAGCCAAGGATTTTTATGTATTATTTATTAAGTATGGTCTCAGTAGTGGCTGTCCATCAGCCTAAGCTTGGCCTAATCTTTGTCTGAGCTTGGAACTAAGCTGATTAACCACGGCCTCAGCCATTGCATCAGCTACGGCCAAAGCCAAGCCTCAGCCATCTGAAGCAACAGCCCAGAGCCATGGATATTTTATGTATTTATTTGTTAAGTATGGTCTCAGTGGTGGCTGTCCTCTGGCCTAAGCTTGGGCTCTTCCTCGTCTGAGCATGGAAATAAGCTGATTATCCACAGCCTCAGCCATTGCATAAGCTATGGCCAAAGCCAAGCCTCAGCCATTGGAAGCGGCAGCCCAGAGATATGGATATTTTATGTATTTTTTTTATAAAGAATAGTCTCAATGACGACTGTCATCTGGCCGAAGCTTGGACTAATCCTTGTCTGAGCATGGAACTAAGTTGATTAACCACAGCCTCAGCCATTGCATCAGCTACGGCCAAATCCAAGCCTCAGCCATTTGAAGTGACAACCCAGAGCCATGGATATTTTATGTATTTATTTGTTAAGTATGGTCTCAGTGGTGGCTGTCCTCTGGCCTAAGCCTGGCCTAATCCTCGTCTGAGCATGGAAATAAGCTGATTATCCACAGCCTCAGCCGTTGCATAAGCTATGGCCAAAGCCAAGCCACAGCCATTGGAAGCGGCAGCCCAGAGATATGGATATTTTATGTATTTTTTCTATAAAGAATAGTCTCAATGACGACTGTCATCTAGCCGAAGCTTTGACTTTTCCTTGTCTGAGCATGGAACTAAGCTGATTAACCACAGCCTCAGCC